GGGGGGGGGGGGTGGGCGTTGCGCTTGAAAGATTATTCCTCCGGGGGGCAGGGAAGGGCAGGAGCGGAGATGCGCCGTGCTGCACCAGGGCGACAAGCGGGCTGGCTTGGCGGCGCTGGATCTGGGCATGCGCAAAGCCGTCGCAAACGTGAGGTGGATGTGCCAAGCAGTGCAGCCATCAATTGAAGGCAAATTGAAAGCAACTAGACTGCCCAGCTCACCCACACACACTACACCGCGCGCTCGCTGGCTCTTAAGTTGCAGCCACTTCCCCGTGCCACCCACCACCCAATCTATCCACACTTGAACGCAGCTACCCTCACACCTCATCCACACCTCCAACCCCTCCTTGCCTTGTGAGTGCGCACGTCTCGCATCAAACGGCCGTCCCTGCACACCCATCTGCCACCTCGCAACGCGCACACACACCTCACCCCACCCCCTCACAACAAACCTCCACCCCAAAGGTACCAGCCCGATGAGATGGCGTCCTTCACACACGACGGCGCCAATTACTTGGTGTGTGTGTGCACCCTCCATGCCGAGGGGGCTGGCTGGTGCAGCGGAGCAGCCAGCCCCCCGCGGCTTCCGCCCCAATCGCACTAGACACTGGACAGATGGCTGTGCGCAGAAAAGCCCATGCTTGGGCCAGAAAATGCCTGACGAAGCGCCTGTATTGCAAATTGCATGAGCACCGTTACCTTTTGGGTGCCTTGCGCTGTTCTGGTTGCGGCCAAACGCAGGTGACCGCTAACGAGGGCGACTCCAGGGACTACACAGGATACACAGAGGAGGTGCGTGTCGCGGCCGCAAACATCGACGCCGCATTCCCCAACAGGACGGCCTTCCGTGACAACAATGGCGCCGGCAGGTGGGCGTGCTGCTGCCGCTGCCACCGCTGCAGCGCTGTCAGGTTGCCACCGCTCCCGCGCCGTTGAGCTGCCGCGGCTCGGCGCCGCCGCCGCTGCTCTGTACTGCGCCCCACGTGCGCCGCAAAACAATTGATGCACCCTCTTGTACTGCGAGGAGGGCAAGGCAGGGAGACACTGACATAAAATCGGTAATTGCGCAGGCCTTTAACGGCGCCTGCGCGACGCTGTCGGGCCGGGCTCGTGCGCCCTGCGACCGTAAAGTTAAAAATTCTCCGCCACATCCAATCGATCACCTTCACAACAGGCTGACCGTCACGACAGCAACTGGCGACAAGGATGGGGACGGCGATCTGGATGAGGTGCACGTTCTGGGGGCGCGCAGCTTCTCAGTCTGGCAGGTGGGCTGGCGGCTGCTCAGGTTCCTTATTTGCATGGCATCCCGCAAACGCACACCTTGGATTCGTGCGTGTACGGTGTGAGCTCAAATGCCCGCACACCGGGGCGGCGCGGGCGCTCAGTAGGCACGCATGAAGTGCAGAAGCTCATGCTCCACACGCGTATGCTGCATTTGCACACATATTCTCACCCATCCCTTGGCAGGTGACCGGCGGTGCCGGCGGTGGTGTCACGCTGGCCTATGACAGCGCCAACGACCTGGAGATCCGCACGGCTGCCCCCGAGGTGCGCTGACGCCGCCCAGCTGGCCAGGTCCGCGCATTGCGGTGTCGCTGGCGGCCCACCAAATCGGCAGCCGCGGTGGGAGAAATCGAGACCGCTTGTTGAAAGACTGCCTCATGTCATGAGCACAGCGAGCAGGCTGCTCTTTTCTTGCGTTTTTGGGGCACTCTGCCACTGTCTTCCTGGCCTTGGTTCCATGGGCCTCCTTGACCCTGTGCCCCGCAACTGCTGTCGCCCTTGCAACCCCTCTGCTGCCTCCCAGTTCACTTCCTTCTACAACAGCGACGGACCCGGCGCCAACAACCCCGACAGCCGCTCCGACAACAAGGTGAGGCCGGCGCGAGCGGCGGCCATTGACACTCCTCTTTTCCTTGATGAATGCCACAGCATCTTACCATGCCATCTTTGAGGCTGTCTTTGTGTGCTTGCCCATAAAGTGAGCCTGGCAGTCTGCCTTGCCGGACCCCACCCAGCCCAGCAAGGGTCTGAAGGCAACGCCTCTCGTTTGCCAATCTGAGAGCATCAAATCTATCGCCCTCCCTGCACAGTCCCGTTGTTTGCCCCATGCGCGGCCCCTCCTTCTCCCTTCCAGAGGCAGAGACAGAGAGAGAGATTCACGCAGCACCGCTGACCCCATGTTCGTTCCCCCACCCACCCAACCTCCCCAGGGCCCGGAGCCGGAAGGCATTGCCCTGGCCACTGTAACCGTGGCCGCCGGCCAGCCGCAGCGCCGCCTGCTGTTCCTCACGCTCGAGCGCACCTCCCTGATCGCGGTGTACGACCTCACCAACCCCACCGGTGAGCGAGGGCTGGGGTGTTGCGGGCCGGGGTCTGGGGCGCCTGTTGGTGGGGACTTGGGGGCCCAAGTGGCCGGGAGCACAGCCCCTTACACAGCTTTTGTT